CTGACCACGTCCAAGGCCGGCACCATGTGTCCGGGGTGAGAGGAGGTATGCAGGGTGCCAGTGTGGTTTCCTGAGCAGGAAGAAGCAGCACCAAAGCCACACCGGGCTCTGGACCACTGCCTCATTTGATGCTACCACTGTGGGAATGGGTAGATCCATATCTACAAAGAGTCCCACACTCTGACAAACAGGCCAAATTCCTACAGGGAAAGTATACTGAGATCTCAGGTGAAAGACATAATGCAAAAAAAAAAAAAAAAAATGCTGAGCCACCTCCAGCCTTGAACTCTCCCTGTGGGACACGGGGCTGTAGGAGCATGAAGGGGCCTGCGAGGAGGCCCGGCCCGGTCAGCCCCCACCCCTGCGCCTAACACACCAGAGCCTGCTTCAGGGGCTGTGCAGACAGAGCCCATACCACGGCTTTGGAAACCCAACAGCCCCAAGCTCTCTGATGAGAACTCTCCACCGTGGCACTGCACTGGGCTTTCCCAAGCCACGGCTCGAGGAGCAGAGCCGATCCCACTGCGCTACAGGCTGAGCCCTGGGCCTGGGTCTCCTTACTGCCTCCTGCCCATCTGCACGGACACGGTCCTTCAAGGCCTGAGTCCAGACAAGCCCCACAAGGGGTGAGGGTGGCCAGAGACGGCAGCCAGTGCTGGGAGACGGGGCGAGGAGAAGAGCCCAAAGCAGGGGTGTCCACGCAGCCCAGGAAAAAGACTTTGAAGAAAAGATGACAAGGCCAGGAGGATGGGAAGCAACGAGAACCCTGGAACATGGCTAAGGGAAGGTGAAATGATGCGGACGCTGGGCCGCGGTGGGCAGTTCCTCCAAAGGTTAAACACGGAGTCACCAAAGACCAAGCAGGTCCCCTCCTCGGTGTGCGCTGGGAGAACTGAATCCACACGTGCACACAAAGCTCAGAGCAGCGTATTCACAACAGCCAGAACATGGAAACTGGCCTCGTGTCCAGCAGCTGACGATGGGTCAGCAACCTGCCGTGAGTCCATGGGTGGGACAGTGTTCAGGCAGAGGCAGGAAAGAAGCACCAACACCCGCTACGTGGTACACTCTGAAAACCTCATGCCCAGCGAGGGAAGCCAGACACAAAGGGCCACGTATGTGACTACAGCAACGTGAGACACCCAGAATAAGGAACTCCCTGGAGGCTGGAAGGAGCCTGGTGACCACCAGGGGCTGGGGGCTTCAGGGCAGGGGGGCTGCTGAGGCACCTTTTTGTTTAGGCACAAAAGAGGCTCTAAAAGGGACTGGTGACAGCTGCAGGAGACTGCAAACGCACTGAAAACCACTTCAAGGGCTGACGTGTCTGACCGCGGAAAGGTGTCTCAGTGAAGCCATCGCCAAAGTCCCTGCAGAAGCACAGATCCGTGCCGTCAGAGGCCACCCAGGGCAAGCAAGACGGCCAGGGACGGACAGCAGCCCTCCAGCTCCAGGCCTCCGTGGACTCCGCCAAGCCCGTGTGACCAAGTGCCGGCACAGGAGCTGGGAGAAGACGGGGAAAGGCAGCCGGTAGAAATGGCCCCACAGGCAGTACTAGCTGAGGGGACGTGGGGTTCAGGGAGCTTTCAGGGTGGGGTGGGAACAAGCGCGAAGAGAGCCAAACTGATGGCACAGGAGAGAGGGGCATGTGCCCAAGGCACCGCGCCCTGCACCACAGGGCCCAGGGGAGGGTCCCACGGACACCTGCTGTTGGAAAGGCCCTGGAGGGAGCAGCCAACTTACCAGCTCTGCAGGACTCAAGGCACAGCTGTTCAGCAGGCCCTGGGGAGACGGCCGCTCAGCTGTTGACCAAGCGGAAAGGGGAAACCAGCTCAGAACTGACACAACTCTGAATACGCCACAGGACAAAGGCCCCGCAGACAGACCCCCAAAGGGCAAGCTGAGCTCTCAGACCTCTGCCACTCAGCTAAGTGCCTTTCCCAAGAAACAGCCTTGCCACGTTAGGAGGGGACCCAGCTCTGAAACCACAGCAGCAAGAATTCACCTCTGAGTTCATTTCTAGCAACAACATAAAGAACCAAAAGCTAGAAACCTCCCTTGTCAAAAATCCAGCCATCTCAAGCAAAGCAATGAGGTGTGCAGCCCTGGCCACCCCTTTCCAGGAAAATGGGTAGTGACAGCAAGAGTCTAACTGGGGATTATTGCAAAAGAGCCACAGGGCTCTCAGGAGGCAATCTGGCGGTTGCAGCAAACCTGGAGAAGCCGCCTCTAGGCCCCCAGCCAGGGAGATGCTTGTGCGGGTTCAGAAGGGCCACCAGCAAGGGCCTCGGGCCTCGGAGTCAAGCCCAGGAGGCCTGGACTGGGGTCTGCCAGGGCACAGCCATGCTCACAGTAACACAACACGACAGTCTCCTCTTTCCAGCCTGGGTCGTGAGTGACGGGCGGAGCTTTCCAGAGCGTGTATGACGGGTGAGGACATCACCGTCCTGAATGCTTAAGCAACGTGCTCGGTTTCCGCTCCTCTCAGGGTATCCCTACCAACGTGGCGTAAACATTGGCAGTCATAACCGAGTAACCCGGAGCTCTTTGGGGTCCTCCACAATTGTTCATACTCTACGGGTGACAGTGTGAGAACCACTGTGGGGCAGCTGTTCCCACCCCCTTGTGGGTAATGTTGCAGGGGAGGAGCAACCAAAGGGCCCTGGGGGAGGACCACTGCGCCAGCCACGCAGGGGAACGCGAGCCAGGGGCACTGACGAGAAAATAGCAGCCTGCCAGACAAACCTCCACAGTGTCACCTGCAGATGGGGGAAGGCTGCAAGACCTCAGAAGCACAGATGCATCAGCTACCCGCACATGTCCTTCACAGCACCCCGTGCCCGTGTCTCACCCAGACACCCCTCCCACAATGACGAAGCCGGGCAAGAGAGCATTCCTTCCCAGGCCACCTTCTGAAGACGGTCCCCCCCGGCAAGGGTGCATGCTGTGCACACAGAGTCACCAGGCAGATCTTCTGAAACCTGCCATACACCAAGGAATCAACACTCCCTTCACTCAAGACTGCTTCTCACCAGCCAGGCCTCCCTGGCACAAGCACCAGCACACCGCTCTCAACCACAGCAGGCGCCCCAGAGCGTGGGGGAGCCTGGCGAGCACCCACCCCGCACCACTTTGGGAGGACGGCTGCTGCCCCCAAGCTGAGCTCCGCACGCCGAGAAACCTATGGGTTACGGGCAGATCCTTGTCTACGGACCTTCACATCGAAAGGCGCCCGCAAAATTACCCTGTGTGCACGGATTACCAAAACAAACGTTCCTTCCAAATGTAAACATGATGCAAAACTCCATACAGCCATCAAGAAAAAAAGAAAATTCAGAGAGAACATGTTGGCAAACAAAAGTAAATTAAGTTATCCATTTTAACGTCAACAGAGAGAAGTGTGCATATACAGCTGAAACACAACAAAAATGCTAGAACTCAGAATCAAAGATTACTGGAAAGAATGTTTGCACAGCAAAATTCTTTTCCCTTTGAGACTCAAATGCCCCACCATGCTTAATTTTCCTGACATTTCTGAGGCTTTGAAGCCTCAGCTAACGGATCTGAATCATCTGAGCAAAACCATGTTATAGTGGCGTGTTACTGGAAAGCCGAGAATAGAATGCTAAATATACAGACACACACCCATACAGGGCACTTTTGTAGAAAATGATCAAACGCAAAACTAGATAAAGTTGTCCGAGGGAAAGAGGGAAAACAGTTCACCTCCAATGGGGAAGCACAATACACGGAACGCCTGGAAGTTAAAATGAGAGAAAAAACACAAAAATAGCACCTACTTGGTGTCAAGGAAAGCAAGCCTAGCCTGTGCATGACCTTAGCTTACTGAACCACTTCACCCATGCCCGCTGCCGGCAAAGGAAGGCTCGGCAGGACGCCAGAACCTTCTCCGGGAATCCAAGTCATGCCTGTATCACTGGACCAGCCCACGCCCACTGCTCACCTAGCTGAGGCCTCCACAGGCTCCATCTGTACCATCACCCTTTTCTCTTAAACAAGCATGCCACTTGGAGTCGCATTCTGCTGTATTTGGGTTGGCAGTGCAAGTACCAACAGCGGGGTGGCACCGCGGCTCAACAGCGAACTAGGTCAGCCTGGGCCTGCCTCAGAGCTCCAGGCACCCCAGTCCCTGGCTCCCTTGGCTCCCCTCGGCCCGCGGGCAGCCGCCCCCGCTGCCCTGGGTGCCCGGGTGGGAGGCCCCCAGAGGTAAAGGCCTTGGGCAGTCACATCCCTTCTTTGGCCCTGAAAAGCTTGCCGGCATCTTTCTCTTTCATAAACAAGATAACAGCGTTCTCCAGGGCTTTCCACCGCCGCCCTTGTTTGAAAACTAGACAGATACTAAGTTACAAGGTAAAACCAGGGCGCCAACCCCCCGGAGCCCGGGTTGAGCCGCACACAGCGGGCGACACAGCCCAGCGGATGAGGCTAGCCCACCAGCCAGGGGCGGGGTCAGGAGACCAGAAGTCAGGGGTCAGGGTTCTGGGCTCAACGTTCACGGAAGAGACTAGGGGCCAGGGTCGCGGTTTGGGGCCAGTGCACGAGGGTCCTCAGATCAGGATCTGGGGACCTTGGACAGGGATTAGAATCGGAGTTTGGGGCCCTGGTTTCCGGGGCCCGGCTCTGAGGTCGGGGTTCAGCCTATGCAGTCTGGAGGCCAGAGGTGGGGGACCTGGATTCCAGGGTTCGGGGCAGGGTTCAGGGCACTGGTTCAGGGTCTGAAGATTTAGGGGTACGAGGGTCTGAAGGGCCCAGATTCAGTGTCCAGGTCCTGGGGTCTGAGACTCAGGGCTTCAGTCCAGAACCTGGGGCTCTGGGGCTCAGGGATGGGGACCAGGACCAGGGTCCTGGGCTCCGGGGACTCGCGGCTCAGGGCCGGGACCCAGGGCCGGGGCCCAGGTCCGGATCGGGAGGTCCCGGGGGTTCCGGGGGTCCCAGGGCTCGGGACCGGGCTCGGGGTCGGGGTCCGGTCGCCGGGCACTTACGTCGTCGAACAGCGAGCCCACGTTGGCCGTGACCAGCAGCACCGCGGTGCCCGGGGCGGCCCCCTTCCCCGCCATCGTGGCCTGGGCCGGCGGCGGCCGCTCGCGCGGTGCCGGCCGGCCGGGGTCTCCGCGGGCCGCGGCGTCAGCTGCGCCGGGGGGCGGCCCCGGGGCGCATCGCGGGCTCGGCGAGTCGGGCCGGGCCTGGCCGGGGTACGGCCGCGCGCGCGCTCGCTCGCCCTCGCTGCTCCGCGGCCCCGCGCCCGTCGCTCTCCGCCCGCGCCTCACCGCGGCCCGCGCGCAGCCATTAGAATCGCCGCCGCCGAAGTTCCCGCAGCCCCTGCCGCCGCCGCCGCCGCCGCCGCTACCGCTGCTGAGGCGAGTCCCGCCCGGAGCCGGGGGGCGGGGCGGGGCGTGCGCGTCGCGGGGCGGGGCGTGCGCGTGAAGGGTGGGGCCTAGGAAGGGGCGGGGCCTCGGGCGGGCAGCCGGGGGAGGCCCGGGAGGGGCGGGGCTGCTGGAGGGGGCGGGGTCACTGGGAGCGGGGCAGGGACGCCAGAGAGACCCTGCGCCGGGCGGGGCGCGGCCTC